TATAGACAATAGACAAAGATGTATGACTATAGTATATGCAATTCTGATAATATAAATTCTATCATTAAACTATATTCTCATGGATTAGTACAGGAACTAGCTGTATAAGGGGGCCAAATTTAAAAGATATATGAAATCATAAAGTCAGTTTCCTAAGGCTGGGAGAAGCATGTCCTGTTCGAAGAGTTTAAGGAAAGGCATAATGGCAGATGTTACCCAGTGGAGGCAGTAGCTGGTGATATTGCAGAAAAATTAACTGAGAATTTCTGTAAGGATTCTCATCTTTTGAGCAGGTACAACTTTTAGCTCTCATTTCCAAGAAAAGCACACTAGGAGTCAGCCAAATATAGCACTACAGAGATTTTTAATGTGCTTTTTGTTGTTTAGCAGCTCAGTGTACAGATCAGAGTCTCTGAATCTGAGTCGCCTGCAGGTGGGGTGGAGTGTGAGTAGCTTCTATGAACCCATCTCAGTAATTCGTATGAAACATAAGACTTACCTGGCATTTGGGATAGAGAGAAAAAAGTAGATGAGCAATATTAGCAAACAAGCTGCAGGATGTAGAGATGGCCAAGATTATACCAGTTGGTCACACATATGGAATGTTTGGTATTAGAAGTCCCTCCTCGATTAATGCCTTCCCCAACTTCACTGGTGGATTAATTTTTCATTAGGTTCTCATAGGAAAAGTGTTGTTTAAAATCTTTTTATCCTGCCTTTAATTATGAGAGAGGATATAAAGAGTTTAAGAGTACAGGTTTTGTGGGAATCAGCAGTTAGCGTAATGGCTATGTCGCTGGACTCCCACGTAGTTGACCGCGGTTCGTGTCCCGGACCCGGTGGCTTAAAACTCATGTCAGGCGTGTGTGCGTGCATGCCCAAGATCCCGAGAGGAGAATGGAGGAGAAGGGATTGCGGCGTGACCATCCCCCCTGGGGGTTGATTTCTCGCTTTCTGTCTCTATGTCTCTCTCTGTCTGTCTGGCGAGTGCACGCGCCCTACAGTGAAAAATCTCTCCAAAAAAAGAAAAAAAAAGAGTACAGGTTTTGTTAAACTAGACCCTCATACTGAATTTTCCCTTCACAGATGACCTTGGTGAGGCTATTTCTCTTCTCTTAGCCTCCATTTCATTATCTGTGAAATGAAAATGATAATTCCCTTGTGGGTTATTGTGATTATTTAGCTAATGTACGTGAATTACATCACATCATGCCAGACATGTAGTAAATACAGAAAACACAGATACGATTACTTCCATTAAGAATTCATGTATTTTCCTCTGCTTTAAGTTGAAAATTTCCATAATGCATGAAGGTCATCTTATTTATTTAAACCTATGATGATGTCAACAGATTGCCTTGCCCATAAGAGACGTAAGTGTGTATGCAATGGAACTAAATAAAAATGAGTAAGGACTAGTAATCATGAGGAGAATCAGGAAGAAAGTCCCAATTTACTCAACCAGCCTCCCACTTCCTTCCCAATGTGCTGTTCTCTGAACTTAGAGAGTTTGGTCAAAGACTGATCATTTATTTTATTGTTGTTGCCTGTCCATGTTTCTTGCAGCATATTTACCACAGAGTTGCCTTTAGATGGCCCATGCTATGTTATTAACAGCTAACCATTACATATACAATTTACTGGGGAGATAATCATCTAAATAAACATGCGTTAAGTCAGGTTCTTGCCTTATTTTGGGTGTTTGGGGGGATGAACATTTTGTGATTTGGCTCAGTAATTCAGAAGTTGGGATCTCTCTCCTTTCAAAGATCCTTTGTGTTAGCTCTCTTCATTTTATCATAAGCTCAGATATACATAGTGAAAAGGATGTTAAAGATCCAATTATCTGCTATCAGGTGGATGAGATAAATTTTTTTTATTGTTGGTTTTTACAAAATATGAGACTTGGCTGTAAGTATCCTGCCCACAGTCAGGCAGCTAACAACTCTAATACCTCGAACCTTGTCTCCTGACTTCTGCTCACAGCGCCACACAGCACAATGTACCTGATGCTAAGGCCAAACAATCCCACAAGCAGACCCCCTTGTTGCATTAGGAAAAATTTATCAATGTTATCCATAGCCAGTGTAATCATTAAGCAGGGGGACTTGGATATCGATGTGAATCTCTGAATAAAAAGCTTAACGTGGATTTCTCACAGGAGCCAATGCTGTTTCAAAAGCATTTGACCTGTTTTCCCTCTCCTCTCTTTTTAATGGCTGATTTTAAAACTTTGCAATACCAAGCTATAGCATGAAAACCCTGCTCTAGCCTTAACTACTGTAAAACTAGCAGGCAAAGCTATAAAGATTTCAGCTTTATAGTATAATCTGAAATTGAATTACTCTCATTTCATGGCAAAGTCAATACCGCTAATGGATTAGAAACATGACTGATAAAAGTATTGTTGTGTTCATATTTGAGGAATCACATGAAAAAAATGATTTTCTGTGGTCTGTGACGCTCGAAACTTGGCACTGATTTGAAAAGAAACTTGAGAGTATAAACCTCTTTAGTCAGAAAATACTTAAAGGTCAGACCATCCAGCAGTGTGGGTGGTTGGAGTGGCTGGATCTAGCATGGCCCACTTCACAGTTTCAGTCCTGGACCTGTTGGCATGAGAAACATGACAGTCACATATGCATGCATGCCAGAAATCCCAAGAGGAGAATGGAGAAGAGGGCATTGGGTGTGGCCATCCCCTCAGGGGGTGTTCCTCTCCCTCCCTCCCTCCCCCTCTCTCTTTCTCTCTCTCTCTCTCTCTTCCCCCCTTTATCAGGCAAACACCTCTATCCTGGAGAAAATTATAAATAAATAAATAAATAAATAAATAAATAAATAAATAAAGTGCTTGGAGGTCAAGATAAATAAAGCTCAAGTGAACCTGATAAAGCAGTTGTGAATTTTTCCTAGCATGTTCCATTCTACTGTCAAACTACCACTTGGAATCCAGGGCCAAATGGGGACAGCCTAAACTGCCAAGATGAAAGTCTTGTCAAGACGGTACCCTGGAAGGAGAAATTTTGTGACTTCTCAGCATGTTCTCAGAGTTTTCTAGGAATCTGTGAGTTGGACATTGTGTTGAGAATCCTAGATAAGAGATTAAATTCTGTCCATTTTAACCCTGCAAATTTGGGCTATCATTCTCTCTATAGATTTCCTATATCTGCCAAATAAGAGTATGGACTACAAGAATAATTTATCTTTTTGGATTCTAAAATATTCACTAAGGAAAGATTGCACACAGAGCTAACATGGCTGAGTGAAGTACATAAGCAAATGAAGAATATTATATGTCAAGCTAAAGGACTTATATTTTAGCCAGGCATGAGGGCACATACCTAATAGTCCCAGCTACTTGGAAGGCTGAGGCAGAAGGATTACCAATTCAAGTCTAGCCTGGGCAATATAGCAATACCCTGTCTCTAAAGTCAGCAACAATACTAACAAAAAGACTTGTACTTTATCTTAAATTTTATAAAAATAGTTTAAAGAAATTTAAGCAAGTGAATTACACCACTAAAAAAATAATTTGAGACAAAAAATTTTGAATGGCAAAGAAAATAAAAGAAAGTAATAAAAATCATGGTGAAGAGATAATTTACAAGGCTTCTTTTTAATTCAGTTGAGAAATTAAGATGTTAGCCAGTGGGCAGGAACTGTTTAGGTGTGTGTGGGGAATGGATTTGAAGTATATAAAAGAAATGCACTTAATAACAATTATCACTTTATGGAGAAATAAAAAGAGGAAGGCAAAACAAATATAAACGTAACTCTTCAAGTTTGGTTTGGAAAAATAGGTTTAGTGTAGTGCCACTTAGTAATATAATGCAGGCCTTGCTTAGTGGCACAGGTGGTGGGGTGCTACTGTATGATACAAAACCATATGGGAAGCCCTGAGTTCCAATCCCAGGTTGTCCTGAACTCCCCAGGTGCATAAGTGAGCACACCGCTGATTCTGAGTGGCCAGAAGGTTGTGGAAGCATGGTGAGGCAATGTTGGGGTTCCCCATTTTCATACCAGAAAGTATCATAAAATCATAAAATATGCTAGGATTTTCAACGTCAAGACTTAAAAAAAAGTGAGAATTCTGAAGACTGAGGCTAATTGTTAATGCTGATTTTCTCTTGAGCTATTAGAAAGCAGTGTTTGAAATACATGAAACCTGGGGGTGAAAATAGCCAGAGCTAATAATCACAAAGATTAAGCTGAATTCTCAGTAGATTTATGGAACTTGGGAAAAAAAAAGAAAGTTCAGGAACTTCCAAGGAAGAAGGTCTCTGGTGAATTAAGGTATAAGGAAAATCAATTCTAGTACTGAAAAATAAAATGATTCAATAGATAGATTTTACAGCTGATTAAAAGCAGTTGAGAACAATCAATGGGTTGAATAAAATAATAATAAAAAATTCTGACTGAAAAGATCCAAATCAAAAAGAATAGAAAATGCAGAAAAAATAGAAACAGGCAGAGAGTTAAAGTTTCCATATACATATAACTGGGACTATGGAAGATCAGGAGATAAGAATGAGGTAGAAAACAGAATGAAAAAAATGGAAGCAAATTTTCCAAAATCAAGGAGTTAAATAAATCCATAGATTTGGGAAGTATGACATTTTCAGACAAGATACATATCTTACAAATGACAAACTTCGAAGCACCCAGACAGAAGAAAGAAAAGCATTATCTTCAAAAGAACAAGAAAAAGCTTCATACTGAATTTTTAACAGAAATATGAAAATCAAAATATTTATTTTGAAACCGAAAACAACTCCCACACCACCATTTCAAACTACTTTATTTTGAACCAACTCTTTTGCTGTAAACAATTAGAAATTTCAGATTTTAAGGCATCATAACCTCATACCATTAGCTAGAATTTTCAGTGTTAAGACCTAAAAGTGGAGAATTCTGAGGACTGAGACTGTTTGTTAGTGTAGATGACATAAAGGGGTCCACTGTGATGCAGCTGTGAAACAGTATTCTGCAATGCCGGACCCACATGTAACAGGCCCAGGTTCATTGCACGGGGGCCTCCCTGTACACACACCATGCGTGTGCGCCTGCCTGTGATCCAGGGTGACCCAGGCTGCCTGAGCCTTGGCATAGATTTCTGCATGAAGATCCCATGGTAGGTACCTGTGGGTTTTTTTTTTTTTTTTTTTTTTGCTTGTCTACGATCCCGTGGAAGAAATAAACTTTATTTTAAAACAGGTTATATTAAGATCTTTCAGGTGAATAACTATGGAATTTTAGTGATGAGTCTCACACACACAAACACACATATACTCCTTCCATATACCCTACAATGTACTTCAGGTAGAAGAAAGATGACTGCAGATAACAGAGATGCAGGATAAAATAAGGTCTACAAATGTGCACACATCTGATACAGTTTTTACAACCAAAATCATAATTATCATTTATTGTGGTGTCCTAAACATATAGAGAATTAAAATATTTGGCAATAATGAAACATAGGGCAGGAAGGGAATAAATAACTTAAAATATACTCTGAAGTCTTATTTTTGAAGAGTGGATAAAAACCAATTTACACTAGACTTGAATAAGTATGCATTTTGTAATATCTAGAGTAAATGCTTAAAGAAAAAAGTGAGAATGTATAAATAATAAACTAATTGAGGGGAGAAATTAAAACAATTAATTAATAATTAATTCACCCAATACAAGTCAAAAGAGAATTATGAATCTAGAACTTTCAGAAACAAATATGTAAAAATGTTGTTAGATGGTGGATTTAAACCTGATTTTATATATATATATATATATATACACACACACATATATATATTTTTTTAATTATTTATTTAATTTTATTTATTCATTCATTTATTTTAATTTGACCAGAGAAAAACACACACACACACACACACACACACAGAGAGAGAGAGAGAGAGAGAGAGAGAAAGAGAGAGAGAGAGAGAGAGGGAAAGGGAGAAAGGAAGCCACCAGTTCTGGGACTCGAACCATGGTCGACCATGTGGGAGTGTCAGCACCTTAACCATCATGCCACCTGCTGGTCCCCAAACCTGATTATATATTAAAAGGCCATTAAATTGAGTTAGACAAAAAACACGGTCTGTTTAAAACAGAATTATTAGATTGTTAGGAAAGTCATGACGTGTTGTCCTATGCAAAAATGTGTCTTGATTTTCCTGATGAACCAATACTTAAGAAAATCGCTAGATGATAGGTAATGGAGAAATATATCAAAATGTCTGAAATGATTTACATATTACCCCTTAATGTATAGCCCTTTGATGATTAGATGACACTACCATTTTACAAATATAGCAAATCTAATTCAAGTAACATGTAGCTATTTAGTGCTGTTATTGTCACCATAACATAGCTACTTAGAGTTTAGAAGAGTTATCCCAACTTCGTATTACATGTTTATCACTTTTATAATCAATTTTAAGCAGTTTTGGCTATGTCTTCTACCGTATTTTCATCTCCAGTTGTTCAAATCTTTCTTCATGTTCCAACTTCCTGCCACTACCCTTGCCCACTAGACCTCCTCTACAATGCAAACATTTTCTTGTGTCTTCAAGCCACTTTATAGACTGTCTTTGCCATTGTTAACATAGAAAACAAAGAATTAACTTCTCTGGCTAGCATGGTGGTTGAGGCACTGGATTCTTACAGGACTAACTCTGGTTCAAGTCCAGGATCTGGCTTTGAAAGTCACCTTGGTTGTGTGTGTGCGTGTGTGCCCAAAGTTCTCAGAACACATCATATGGCAAAACAAAACAACACAAACTCCTATAAACTCATTTTTAATCGAATATTCCTATTTTCCTGTTTCACTAGATCAGAATATGAGTATCCATTTTTCTAGTTCCAAAATGCTTGCTTGAAAAAGTATATGTGTGTTTGTGTGTGCATATTGTGGAAGTTAATGCTTTTACCCAACAATATCACTGACTATAAGTATGCATCATTGAAATCCATCATTCTACATGGTTGCTCCATATATGTATTAAGCCTATTGACAATAAATGCATAGCTTTTTTTTGTCTAGACCCATGCCAGACATTAAAAACATATATATTCAATTTTGGAATGTGACCTATGCAAGATTCTACTCTTAGTTCTTTAGCATGTTTAACTATTTTAACCTTCATTCTATGAACATAAAATGCCCTGGATGTTGTTATCTTCTGGGATCACTGTGCTTCTATAATAATTATCTTATCCCATTCTCTGACTATAGTCTTTTAAGCTCAACCTCTATTGTGTTTTGCTTCTAACACTATCACATTTTTCAACCGTAGGTGTTTGTGTTCAAGTACTCATACTCCCTTCATCTCACTCCTTTTTCTGTTTTGTCTAAAGTTCCTGGCTCCCTTCCTTCTTTTTTCATTTTAGTCTACAGACCCTCCTTTCTTGATACCTGTTTATTAAGTATAAAATCCATAATCCATCACATTTATAAACAACCACAATCCCTTTGTATATTTGCAAGTGCTTTGTTCTTTTTGCACTAACTCACATACTTGAATCTATGTAAATGTGTGCTTTATTCCATCCTTGAGTAGTTTTTTATTTATTTATTTTTCCAGTCTATTTATTTATTTCATCCATGAAAGAAACAAAGAAAGAGTGGCAGAGTCAGGCACTTTCCAACAGGATCTTCACCCAATGATTCACCTTCAGCCAGCCTGGATCATCATGGGCACATGATTGTCTGACTGCCAGAAAAGGTCCCCAGATGTGATCCCAGGACCTTTCTTTCTTTAGGTGTTTACCATAGGGTGTATGTGTTGGCCTGAGAGAGACAGTCCGAAACAGAGAAAGAGAAAGTGAGAAATCACTCCCCAGGAGGGATGACCATACCACCATCCTTTTTCTTCCATTTTCCTCTCGGGGTGTTGGGAATGCATGCACATGTGTCTGGTGTGATTTTCAAGCTGCTTGGTTTGGAACATGAACTATGGTTGGCCATGTGGTAATCCATTCCCTTAACTATCTCACCAACTGCAGGCCCCAAGGGTATCTATTTTTTTAAAAATCAGTCTGACCATAGTCCAATTCATAAATCCCTTCCAGAAATTTTTTTATGTTATTTATTTTGCATTCATTCGTTGAACATCATCACAGGATATAAGATGTACAAGATGCAGTTTCCCATCCAGAATACACTGTATAATGGCTTAGTCATACATGTTATTATCACAAATAATTTTCCATTTTTTGTTTCATATATGTATGTATACACACACACACACACACACACACACACACACACATCCCTGTTTCTCACTCTAACTCTACCTCTGGTATCTGCAGTTGCTTTCCATCTCTTTTTCTTTTCTCTCCTACATTTTATTGGTTTACAAAATATCTGAATTTATCTAACTACTTTCAATAGCAAGTTCAGCTGATATAGAAATATCTTTAAATATCTTTAGGCATGAAATTGTGAGTAGAATGAATATATTATAAAACAGCACCTAGCTGAGGCTATAGAGTTTACTTTGGTCATTAAATAGGTATTTTTAATATTTTTTTTTAATTTCAAGAAAGGCAG